AATATGGAACTTTCGGATGAAAACATGTTTTATTGTTATTTCGCATAAGTCTCTTCACAACTGTGTGATGCTAAACCATCAGAATGCTTTAGCAATGGAAGAGTAACTTATGCAGTACAACCGTGTGATGTATTGATTCATCAAAATGTCACACTATTTGCTTGTACCAAGGCCGGCGGTGCTGTGTGTATCCTGTGTCGGTGTGTGCGCTGGCGGCATTGCCGGTGCCGGGTCAACGACAAGCGAGGGGGACACCATCTTCTCAAGCTCTGACGCAAAACGATCCATGGCCGGCCGTGGCAGCATGACCGGCACGGCCACGGCATCCTCCCCGTCGCCGTCCCTGACTGCAACAAGAAAGATGCCCCCAAAGAACACGGTCGCAATGCCTCCGTACACCGGCACGCCCCACCCCAAGTCCAGGCGATGGAGCCCCAGGTGCCTGTGGTCCGACACGACCAAGAGGTTCTTCGCAGCTAGCATGGGCGGCCGCCCACGCAGCACGAGGAGGTCGATAGTGGACCGCACGTACTCGGCGGTGACGGCCGCCTTCGCCTCCCGCACCATCTCCACCATGTCGCCCAACGAGCTGACCTGCAGCTCCCCGGCGGTGGTCAGCACCGCCGACGGCACGATCGCGTTCCCGTAGTAGCCGGCGGGAAGCCCCAGCTCGCGCACGCCCCTGAAGCCGACGATGAACGCCAGGCGCACCTCCTCGTGCGGCGGGAGCTCTAGCGCGGCCGCGCGCGCGCGCCAGAGCGCCGCCGTAAGCACCTCGAAGGTGGTGGCAGTGCCACGGAGGCGCGTCGGGAGGGACCCCTTGATAGCTGCCACGTCGCGTCGGGCGAAGGTGAACGCCCGCGCGACCATGTCTCCCTGCGGCGTCGGCGGTGGCGGTATGGGCGCGGCCGCGGCGTCGTACACGCGATGCGGGAACGCTGGCGGCCTCGGTGGGACTCGTGCTTCCAGCAGCTCCCGGGACCACGGCGGTGGGGCGGTCGTCGGCGCTGGGTGGCCGTGTGCGAGCTCCGCGACCGCGGACAGGAAATAGCTTTGGCCCATGCCGTCGACGATGTTGTGGTTCCTGTGGAGTGCCAAGACGAAGCCGCCGCACAGCAGCCTGGTCACCTGGTCGTCATCATCACCATCCTTATTAGGCACAAGAGCAACGTAACGTGGCAGAACGAAACTAGCTAATCTCGAGGCCTGACGTACCTGGATGAACAGCAAGGGGCTGTTGAGCACGCTGCTGGAGCGGTCCACGTCGCACAGCAGCTGATCGATCCACGGGAACGGCGACATCAGCGGGCCGGCGGCCTCCAGCTCCGCCAGGCTCACGTCGGCGTCGGCCTCCACGAACGCCACGCCCTCGCCGGTGCAGTCGACGACCAGCTTCCGCTCCTCCACCTCGCGCAGCCGCCCGGCGAGCGGGTAGTACGGCACCAGCGCCTCGCCGAGCGCACGGCGGATGACATCCGCCGGGTCGCCGTCGGCATGCGCCCCAGCCCCGCTGCGGTAGAAGTAAACAAATGGCAGGTACCCACGCAGTGTCTCCTGGTCGTCGATGTCGGACAGGCGCTTCGTCTCGCGGGGCGTCGGTCCCGCCGGGCCAACGAGCAAACGCTCGCGCCGGTGCACGGCGAATGCAGGCGTCGTCGTGATGACCGGCGTCTGCTTCTGGTCTTGCGCCATTGCTTTGCTTAGGACGCCTCTATAGATGTTGTGAGTTGTGTCTGTCGCTTAAATAAAGGTTGGATCAATCATACAGTTAGATGCATGGAGCTCTCTGGTAGGTAACGGGCGCCTTCACCAAATTTATTTGGCGATGGCGGGAAGCCATAGCCAGCGTAGAGAGGAGGGTTGAGAGTGAAAAGAGCCACATCGACACGTCGGTCCTACATATCTAAGTTTGGGTATATATAAATACAAACAGAAAGGAGAGGATAGAGGATTGGCCCATATAATATATATAAAAAGATAAAGATATAGAAATAGCCATAATACATTGAAAAATTAAAAAAATAGAGCTTCGGACAAATGAATCGAAATGTTCATGTTTGGTTCGGAAGGGATCATAAAAACTATAAGCTTAATAGCAATATAATATACTTTGATTAAGAGATTTATTAGATAATTGAAAACAGAGGGCCTTAATTATTATGAAAAAATTAGAAGAATTGCATAGAGGCCCTTGAACAACTTGAAAAAGCTTAGGTTCAATATCAGAAATCGAACTAAAAGCGAACTAAAAGCGTATATGTATCGACCAAATGGATACTCTGAAATACAAGTTTGATAAACGCTACTTGTATTGATTTGGGATAATTAGAAAAATCTAGAAATGGGACTTTTGTTTTGTAAAACAAAGAGCGATAAATCAGATCAGAAAAGAGTCCTAGGAATTCTGAATTGTTGTTTGAATATCGAGTTACTCTATATGATTTGTGCTAATATTAGCATTGTTGAGCTATAGAGTGTGAGAGAGAATGGGGCAACCAAGTGGGCCGTAAAGCATCCACACTATATAGGCCATGATATTTATTTATTTATTTTTCTTTATATTATATTTGATAGTATTTTTTATTTTGTTTTTAATTTTTCATATATTTCACATTGTTTAGTAAGATTTATGATAACATATCTAAATGGGATCTTGTTTTGTAAGATTTATGCTAATCAAAATTTAATTTTGATGCCTAATTTGTAAATATGGATTTTTTAATTTCGTCTAAAACCATGACATCTAATTTGTTTTCTTTCTGAAATCTTCCCACGTAAATAACAAAGAAGGCCAGTAAAGCACGTAGAGCAGCCTAACCTAGCTATTAAGGCCCACAAACATTAATCACACGTAGTAAGTGGAGGTGTCAGGGCAGTCTCAATGAAAGTTTCATGTGAGTTTCATTTACATTTAATAGCCTGCCACGTAGGCATTTTTGATGACATGACAATATATTTAAGATGAGTGATAAGAAATGAATTTTATCTAGATGAAACTCTCCTGGCGTGATTACGTATGAGTCATGAAATTAAATGCTTATGAAACTATAGAATAAAACTTTATATTGAGAGTAGATGTTTCATCCCAGTTTTATTGTCTTGAAAACAACGCCACGAAACACTGGCCTCATCGTCAGCGTGGTCCTTAGCGGTGCCGGTCGGGCCCTATGAGGTGCCGTTGTTGCTGGCCTTTTAAATCACAGGAAAGTGACAGCCCAAAACAAAAAATCTTCCTTGTCCTCTGTTTCTTCAAGTGGTCTTGATTTACTCAGTGTACTTGCATCAGAATTCAGAAGGGATCACCGCTGCCTTTTAACAAGTTCAGCAACATCGGTAGCGTAGCTAAGCTCACCGGGGACCGTGGGTGCATAGACAATGTAATAGAGCAGCTCCAGTGTTGATCAAAATCTGAACCCTGAGATGGAAAAAACGAACTAAGACAATTGGAGCGATCGGACGTTAGTTGTTAGAGTTAAAATCAAACCGAACAGATGGTTCGAACCTTTCCGAGCATTCTCAGCTCGTGTGGTGGGAAACCGAGCCGTAGGGAGAGAGAAGTAGCAGGATGGTTCGATTTCAACACTGGAGCTATCGAACCGAGTAGATCGATTTCAGAAAGCGGATCTTCGTTTTGGTGCGAACCGAGGGAATAAAATCCCAAAACTCAAAGAGTGGCGTGATTGCCGTCCTGCATGCAACAGTATGTACAGAAGAGAGCAAAAGGTGTCGCATTCTTTCCTATTTTTTAATCAGCATGACAGTATATTTAAGATGAGTGAGAAGAAATGAGTTTTATTTAAATGAAACTCTTTTGATATGATTACCAACTACGTATGAGTCATAAAATTAAATGCTTATTAAACTATAGAACGAAATTTTATATTAAAAGTAGGTATTTTATTCAAGTTTTATTGCGTTGAAAACAACACCACGAAACTATCCAGGTCTCATCGTCAGCATGGTCCTTAGCGGCGCCGGTCGGGCCCTAAGAGGTGCCGTTGTTGCTGGCCTTTAAATCACAGGAAAGTGACAGCCCAAAACTAAAAATCTTCCTTTTCCTCTGTTTCTTCAAGTGGTCTTGATTTACTCAGTGTACTTGCATCAGAATTCAGAAGGAATCACCGCTGACTAAGACAATTGGAGCGACCGTGGTAGAAACGATAGGTAATATAAACGATGAAGAATAATAGATTAAGCATAGGAAACACGAAATTTTAATGTGGAAAACCCTTCCAAAATGAAAGGGAAAAAACCCATGGACACCAGTTAACAAATCTTCACTATATCGGGTGAGGTTACAAACATCAGAGATTTACAACTTTTCTTATTCCAAGACGACGGCTTACATAAGGTATATATAGAGATGGAAAATAGACGACGATCCGTACCAAGCCAAGATAGCAAGTCCATCCCGGACAGACCACGGCTGTATCGCATGCTGCTGGTTCCAGAGCCTTGACGTCTCAGCTACCAGTACGTACGGCAAGAGAGTCCTACTCCCACACGAGCTAGCAACGTGCACGAAGACATCTCAAATCACGGACTCCAACACAAGATCAACGCCATTGAATTTGGATCACAGTCTATCAAACTCCACCTTGAAATAAATTCCTTCTTATAGTATAAAACGAACCTTCACCTTGAAACAACAAAAAAATACTTCTGATGCCAAATAGCCTATTGGGCTAAACAGTTATACCAACTAAGCTTGAGCAAAGCTCAAACTTAGCAACAGGAACTGACTTTGTCAACATATCAGCAGGATTATCATGTGTACTTATCTTGCATACCTTCAGCTTACCTTGCGCGACAACATCGCGAACATAATGGTATTTGACATCAATGTGCTTCGTTCTCTCATGGAACATCTGATCTTTAGTGAGACATATAGCACTTTGACTGTCACAAAATAGATTAATGCAAGAATCATCTCCACAAAGCTCAGCAAACAAACCTTTCAACCAAACCGATTCTTTACATGCTTCAGCAACAGCCATGTATTATGTTTCAATGGTAGACAAGGCAACAACAGGCTGCAATGTTGCCCTCCAGCTCACAGCACAACCACCAACAGTGAACACATAACCTGTGAGAGATCTCCTCTTATCTAAATCGACAGTAAAATCTAAATCCACATAGCCATAGAGTCCCTTCTCGGTCCTGCCAAACTTCAAACAAGCATTTGTTACGCCACGAAGGTACCTGAAAATCCACTGAATAGCCTTCCAATATTATTTACCAGGATTAGCCATGTATCTACTAACCAAACTCATAGCATATGATAAATCAGGACGAGAGCAAACCATGGCATACATCAAAGAACCAACAGCACTAGAATATAGAACTCTTGACATGTACTCAAAATCCTCATCCGTACTAGCACATTGTGAAGCTGATAATTTAAAATGAGGAGTAATAGGAGTACAAACAGACTTTGCATCATGCATGTTGAAACGATGAATAACTTTTTTAATGTAACTTTGCTGACTAAGAAATAACAAACTAGATTTTCTGTCTCTTATAATCTTCATACCTAGAATTTTCTTAGCAGCACCAAGATCCTTCATCTCAAACTCACTACTCAACAATTTCTTCAATGTAGTGATTTCTTTCTTGCTCTTGGCAGCAATCAATATATCATCAACATATAACAGCAAGTATATAGGTGATTCATCAACAAATTTAATGTACACACAGCTATCAAATTCAGACCTCTTAAAACCATGTGACATCATAAAAGAATCAAACCTTTTATACCATTGATGAGGAGACTGTTTCAAACCATATAAGGACCTCTTTAATTTGCAAACATGATCCTCCTTACCAGGTACTATGAACCCTTCTGGCTGGTCCATGTATATCTCCTTCTCGAGCTCCATGTAGAAACACAGTCTTTACATCTAACTGCTCAAGCTCAAGATCTCGCATAGCAATAATACCGAAAAATGTACGAATTGAACTATGCTTTACAACTGAAGAGAACACATCATTATAATCAACACCAGGAATCTGACTGAAGCCTTTTGCTACTAACCTTGCCTTAAATCTTGGAGGCTCACTAGGAGACAAATCCTCCTTTCTCTTGAAAATCCATTTGCAACGAACGACCTTCTTTTGTTTAGGCAAGCGCACAACATCCCATGTGCCATTTTTCTCGAGTGACTGCATCTCCTCTTGCATAGCGGAAATCCACTTCTCGCGGTCACCAGAAACAATAGCTTCAGTGTACGTAGCCGGCTCATGAATGTTTTCCACCTGTTCAGCACAACTAAAAGCATAATGAACCATATCACATTCCTCAATTAAACATGGACGAGGGCCACAATTCCTCTTTGTTCTGCGATCTGTAATAGACTGATTTTGAGGCTGCAAAACAGTAGGTGAGTGCTGAACAATATCATAAGCATTATTATCAACAATTTCAGTTTCCTGATCATCTACGTGCTCCACCTGCACACTAACATGTTGCTGCTCCTCATCAGAACCAACTGGAGAAACATCTGTGGACAAGCTGTCATTAAACATAACATATTCATTGAAAACAACACTCCTGCTCATGAAAGTCTTTTTTGTTTCAGGATTCCATAACTCATATCCTTTAACTCCAGAACCATAACCAAGAAACAAACACTTAATGGCTCTAGGTTCTAGCTTTCCATTATCAACATGAGCATAAGCAGTGCAACCGAAAACTCTCAACTGTGAATAATCAGCAGGCATACCAGACCATACCTCAATGGGAGTTTTCTTATTAAGTGGGATAGAAGGTGACTGGTTGATCAAGTAACAGGCGGTGTTAGCAGCCTCAGCCCAAAAACGCCTGTTCATGCGAGCATTGGACAGCATGCAACGAGCCTTCGAAATGATGGTTCAGTTCATGCGTTCAGCCACACCATTTTGCTGAGGAGTGTACGGTATAGTGTGGTGCCTAACAATGCCTTCTTCCCTGCAGTAATCATTAAAAGCATCCGAACAGAATTCACCGCCATTGTCAGTACGAAGCAATTTTACCTTTCTTTCAGTTTGCCTTTCTATCATAACTTTCCACTATTTAAAAGCAGCAAAAGTATCATCTTTATTTTTTAGAAAATAAGGCCACATTTTTTTAGAGTAATCATCAATAATGGTAAGCATGTAACGAGCACCACCATAAGAGAGCTTACGAGACGGCCCCCATAAATCAGCATGTACATAATCAAGTGTACCTTTGGTGATATGAACAGATACATTGAATTTTACCCTCTTATGCTTACCAAAAACACAGTGCTCATAGAACTTCATCTTACCCACAGTGCAGCTATCCAGCAGGTCTCTCTTGATCAATTCTGCCATACCAAGTTCACTCATATGCCCAAGACGCATATGCCAGAGATTAGTTTTACTTGGTTCATCATTAGAAACAGCAGCAGCAGTGACGAAACCATGTAAAGTACTTCCTCTAAGAACATATAACTTTACAAAATTCATATCACCTATCATATAAATGAGAGAGCCTTTTGATACCTTACACACTCCACCTGAACCGGAGTGTTTGTACCCCTCGGCATCAAGTGTGCTGAGGGAGATGAGATTTCTGGCCATCCCTGGTATGTGTCTCACATCTTTCAGTATGTGTATCGTGCCATCATGCATCTAGATCTGAACGGAGCCAATGCCCACGATCTCACGTGGGTTGTTATCTCCCATACACACGACATCTCCACTCCGCGCAGACTCGTAAGAACTGAACCAATCTCTGTTAGAGCATATATGAAACAAGCATGCAGAATCAAGTATCCATTCATCACGACCAGCAACACAACCAGCAAAAACAACAAGAACATCTCCTGAATCAGAACCATCAGCAGCGGAGACAACAGAGGCCTTACCATCACCATCGGATTTATTTTTCGGTTGATATGTACCGTTTCTTTTCTCCTTTTTCTACCGCTTCCAACAATCTTTAATGACATGAGTGCCTTTCTTACAATACCTGCAGAACTTATCCCTGCCTCTGGACTTCGAACGACCTTTACCGTTCTTGCTCTTGTCTCAATTATTATTGTTGTTGTTGTTGTTGTAAGTTTTCTGCTCGGGCTTGCCTCTAACCTGCAACACTTCGCCCTTGGAGGATGACACATCAGACTGAACCATACCTTTCATCTTCTCCCTCGTCTGGAGGGCCTCATATACTTCCGCAAGGGTTAATTCATCACGGCTTAATATTATGGTATCTCGGAAATTTGCAAACGAACTAGGCAGTGAGCATAACAGTAGAATAGCTAAATCTTCATCATCATATTTTACCTCCATCGACACTAGGTCGGCAACGATCTCCTTAAAGACCGATAAGTGGTTCATCACCGAACCACCTTCTTGCAACTTGTGCGTGAACAACTTCATCTTCACGTGCATCTTATTGGTTAAATCCTTGGACATACAGATCGATTTCAGCTTGAGCCAAAGTTCTGCGACAGTTTTCTCATGCAACACTTCTTGTAAAATATCATTATGTAGATGAAGTTGAATCAGAGACAGAGCCTTACGATCCTTCCGCTTCTCTTCAGCGGTCCATGACTTCTACCCTTTGCCTCCGAAACCATCCAACGCCTCATCAAGATCCGAAAATTGTGCCAGAATCACCCACATCTTGACTTGCCATAGCGCAAATCTTGCCTTGTAATCCAGCAACGGTAGATCAAACTTCATCGATGCCATCGCGAAACCCTAAGGTGAAACCAAACTCTGGTACCACTTGTTAGAAACGATAGACAATATAAACGATGAAGAACAGTAGATCAAACACAGAGCACACGTGATTTTAATGTGGAAAACCCTCCCAAGATGGAAGGGAAAAAACAACGGGCATCAGCCAGTAAATCTTCACTATATCAGGTAAGGTTACAAACGTCGGGGATTTACAATTTTTCTTATCCCAAGACAACGGCTTACAAAAGATATAATAGAGATGGAAAATAGACGACGATCCGTACCAAGCCAAGATAACAAGTCCAACCCGGACAGACCACGTCTGTATCGCATGCTGCTGGTTCCAGGGCCTTGACGTCTTAGCTACCAGTACGTACGGCAAGAGAGTCCTACTCCTACGCGAGCTAGCAACGTGCACGCAGACATCTCAAGTCATGGACTGCAACACAAGATCAACGCCATTGAATTTGGATCACAGTTCAACAGATCGGACGTTAAAATCAAACCGAACAGATGGTTCGAACCTTTCCGAGCATACTCAGCTCTAGTGTGGTGGGAAACCGAACCGTAGGGAGAGAGAAGTAGCAGGATGGTTCGATTTCAACACCGGAGCTATCGAACCGAGTAGATCGATTTCAGAAAGCGGATCTTCGTTTTGGTGCGAACCGAGGGAATAAAATCCCAAAACTCAAAGAATGGCGTGATTGCCGACCTGCATGCAACAGTATGTACATAAGAGAGCAAAAGGTGTCGCATTCTTTCCTATTTTTTAATCAGCTGTGGCCCCCACCAAACGACACTCACACTGCAGCACCCAAACCATACGCAACATCCGAACTTTGAAATCCATCTCAGCACTACAACCGAACCGAACACTGGAGCTGCCCCCATGTCACCGGTGTCAGACAAGACGTGGAGCTCCAGTAGTCGCTCAGTTCTGATTTTTCTTTTATTGTTTTCTCGTGCCAAACCTCGGCCCCGATCGCTTGAAGTTATCAGCCGTACTGTTTCAGCAAAATAATAATGTTTTTTTTTTCTAACAAATCGCTATTTTTCTAGCCAGCCGAACAGAGCCGCTCATCCAACTAATGTCAGTTGGGTTCGAACAAGAACTGGAGCTGCCCTTACAAGCTATAGGACCAACGGTGTAACTTACTCATGTACATATCCATGGTTTCAGGGTGAAGCCTTGCAGCTCATACTAGCAAGCACGAACCATGGCGTCAACCCTGCATTCTTTGCTCATCCTTGTGCTGCTGGTGCTCCTCACAGTCTGGCCGGTTGATTCCTCGTCTCTTGTTGGAAAGCACGACGACCGTGAAGCACTGTTGGCATTCAAAGAGGCGCTGTCAGATGACTCAGGCTCACTTCATGAAACGGCAGCAGCTCCTACTACTGCCGTTGGGCCGGCGTGACATGCAGCCGCCGGCATCCAGGCAGGGTGGTTTCTCTAAGCCTGAGCTACAGCAAGCTGGGAGGCAGCATCTCTCCCGTCATCGGCAACCTCACCTTTCTTCAGAGGCTCGATATCTTCGGCAACACGCTGTCAGGAGAGATACCGCACACCGTCGGCCAGCTAAGTCGTCTGCGCTTCCTTGAATTGGATTACAACTCTCTTGCTGGTGAGATTCCTGTAGACCTGGCCAACTGTTCCAACCTTGTGTACCTGAGCGTAGAGGTCAATGAGCTTCATGGGGGAATCCCTAGTGGTCTGGGCTTGCAAACTCAGCTGCGAGTCCTCTATGTTGGCGAGAATAATCTCATAGGACATATACCGCCATCACTCGGCAATCTCCCGGTACTCCAAAGGCTATCACTCTATCAGAACAAACTGGAAGGAACCATCCCAGAGGGTCTTTCCCATTTGAGATATCTCCGATACAACCAAGCGGCGAGGAACAGCCTCTCGGGCACAATTCCACCTCTCTTCTTCAACATATCCTCTCTCCAATATTTCGGTTTTAGTTCAAATAAGCTGCACGGCAGACTGCCCCCAGATGCAGGTAGGCACCTGCCTGACCTTGAAGTGCTCCGTTTGGGTGGCATTGGGAACAACTTTTCTGGAACACTCCCAGCTTACCTCTCAAATGCCACTAAATTGCAAGAGCTGGGTCTTGCTCATAACAGCTTCGAAGGAAGGGTGCCTCCTGAGATAGGGAAGCTCTGCCCAGATAGTGTTGAAATGGAGTCTAACATGCTGCAAGCTGAGAACGATGCGGATTGGGAGTTCCTTAGATATTTCACCAACTGCACCCGTCTAGAGGTTCTAGATGTTAGTGACAACGTCCTTGGAGGAGTGCTTCCACATTTTGTAGCTAATTTATCTGGGCCAGTAAAGTCGCTAATCATGGCAAAGAACCGGATGTCTGGAGTAATCCCTCTGGGTATTGGAAACCTTGTTCACCTTGAAGACCTAGAATTCGCCGGAAATCATCTGCATGGTGTTATACCTGAGGATATTGGAAGACTTCAGAACCTGAAATTTTTCACGCTGGAGGTGAATCTCCTATCAGGAGGTATACCGGCCTCCTTTGGCAACCTCACTCAACTGCTCACCCTTATATTGTCAAACAATGAGCTCAATGGTTCCATTCCTGAGAACCTTGGGAGCTTGCACAGGTTAACATCCATGACATTATCTTCAACAGGCTTACCGGTGCTATCCCTGGAGTAATATTCAGCCTCTCATCACTAACTGATTCATTGTTACTTTCTCAAAATTATCTTTCTGGTGTTCTTCCTCCACAAATTGGTAGCCTCAAGCATGCGACAACATTGGATCTGTCAAAAAACAACTTATCTGGTGAAGTACCAGGAGCACTTGGAGACTGTGAAAGTTTAGTATACTTATCTCTCGATGACAATTACTTCACTGGGAGCATCCCTCCATCAATTGGTAATTTGAAGGGCTTGAGCACGCTGAATTTCACAAGAAATGGTCTGTCTAGTAGCATCCCTCAAGAGTTGAGCAAGATTCATGGGCTGCAAAAGCTTTACCTAGCTCACAACAACCTGTCTGGATCCATTCCACAACTTCTCCAGAACACAAGCGCTCCTGTAGAGCTGGATCTCTCCTATAACCATCTAGAGTGTGAGGTGCCGTCACATGGGGTATTCGCTAACATGAGTGGGTTTTCTGTAATTGGAAATGATGGGCTTTGTGGTGGCGTTGCAGAGCTGAAATTGCCTTCATGTGAGGTCAAGCCACATAGCCACCGAAAACGGTTGCAACTGAAGATTTTTCTTCCAGCTGTTGGCGTCGTTATATGCTTGTCTCTTCTATTGGTTGCACTCTTTCTGTTCAAAGGGAGAAAAGGATTGGACAGGATCAATGCTACACAAAACCATTTGTTGGACAACAAGTATCCTAGAGTCTCATACCTCCAACTTTTTGAAGCTACGGATGTTTTTGCCCCTACTAATCTGATAGGAGACGGAAAATATGGATCTGTTTATAAAGGAAATTTGTCTCTTACAGGTGCTAGGGATTCTGTAGTCTCTGTCAAAGTGTTTATTCCTCAGCATCCTGGTTCTTCCAGAAGTTTTTTGGCTAAATGTGAGGCTCTACAACAAGTGAAACATAGGAACTTGATCAATATTATCACCTGTTGCTCCAGTATAGACTCTAGAGGGAATGACTTCCGAGCTCTAGTATTTGACTTCATGCCCAGGTACAGCTTGGACAGGTGGCTGCATCCAAGAAGCAATGACCAGACACACAAGTTAAGTCTAACCCAACTGTTGAACATTGCGACTGATGTAGCAGATGCACTAGACTATCTTCACAACAGTAGTTTTCCAACAGTGATCCACTGTGATTTGAAGCCTAGCAACATCCTCCTTGGTAGTGACTGGATTGCTTATGTTGCTGACTTTGGGCTTGCAAAGCTGATTGGTGAATCCATGGACCGATCAAATTTGAACATTGGGACTGAAAGCACTATTCGGATACGGGGAACCACTGGATACGTCCCTCCAGGTACCTCCACCGTTCAGAAATCACATTTTTTTTCTAGTCAATTAAACTGCCTTGATTTAGTAGCCTTACTGTATCATCTTCTTATGGCATTGTCAACTGTCATAATATTTCCATTCCTGCAGAATATGGAGCAGGTGGTCAAGCATTAGTCGCTGGTGATGCCTATAGCTTTGGGGTTACTCTGCTTGAGATGTTCACAGGGAAGGAACCAACTGATGATATGTTCATAGAAGGCTTGACCCTGCACTTGCTTGCTGAGGCAGGGTTACCTGACATGATATCAGAAATCATTGACCCAGAACTATTGCATGCGGAGCTGTATGACAATGATTCTGAGATAGTCAGTTGCTTAGCTTCTGTGATACGAGTTGGTGTCTCATGTTCAAAGGACAACCCGTCAGAAAGAATGAACATGGAACATGCTGCTGCTCAGCTGCACAGAATCAAGGAGTACATTGCGGAAATACCTTAGGATTTAAATGAGTATAATTCACTGTCCTTCATTCTTCCAATGTGGAGCACTTCTATTGCAACATTATTACCAATGAGGTGGCTCTTTTGAATGATATATCTTGGAGTTCAGATGGCCTTGTGCAAATATCTGTGTCGCCAGGTACACATCAATGGAATAAGGATAGAGCATTGTCAAGTTTACCTACTTGTTTGTAAGCTTTTATTATGCATGTGCAAATTTTATGACATCTCATTTTCAACTCCAATTGTCCCCCCCCCCCTTTCTTTTGCATGGGTTCAATTTCTCTTTCTATGAAAGACATACCAATCATGTGCTGTTCTGCAGTGCGTTTGTGCCGATGGAGAACGGGACTTCAATCAACAACAGAGTTGGATAACCCCCAACGCTATTTTGTATAGACACCCGATAGGTTGCTTTATTACTTCATCCTCTGCCAGGGAACTTGAAATTTCAAAGCATTCCTTGGGGCGCTAACGAACGATGTGACCATCGTCTCAACCCCTGACATGAGATGATCCATGGCCAGCCGTCACCACCAGGGCCTCCCCATTGCGG